TAAGTTAAAGGACATTGAATAATATTTTTACTGTAAATACTAAATCATAAAAAGTTTATGCAATAGCCAGAAATTCAATTAACTTTAGTTTAGAATCAAAGTTTTTTTATCCAACTTGATTGTTAAGTATAATACCGTACATTTTATTTTGAATTGTATAGTTGTATTTTTATTCTTATCATAATATTTAGAGACAGTCACGAACATGTTGAAAATACTGTTTAATTTTTAATAAACAAATCAATATAATAATAAAAACACATTTTTATAGGGGGGTAAAAATATCCTAGTATAATAATATAAATAAAGTTTAATTTATCCCAATATATTTTTACCTCCCTGTAGAACAATTTTACCTATGGGGTAAAAATAACCTAGTATATTTTTACCACCTCTGGAAGCGTTTTACCTAGGGGGTAAAAATATCCCAGTATATTTTTACCACCTCTGGAAGTGTTTTACCGGGGGAGTAAAAATATCCTAGTATATTTTTACCGCCCTGTAGAACAATTTTACCGGGGATAAAATTAACCTAGTATATTTTTACCGGGGGTAAATTTTACCTAGGATAATTTTACCCCCTTATAATTTTACCGGGGGTATAAATATCCTAGGTTTTCTTTATTCCTGGAAAAAATATACTAGGATATTTATACCTAAAAATATCCGGGGGTAAAAATCGCCTGTTACAATAGCAAGCTATTTTAGATCCATGATACTTATTTTATTTTTTTATTTTTTAATGGTTAGGGCTTCGACAACTGAGGTCATTAGCCTGGGGAACTGTAGGGGAAGGTATTGTAAGGTTTTAACTCGTGGGTTTTTTTGGCAGAATTTTGAATGGGCACCCGTGGGTTTCTGCCATGCCCGRTTGSGGGCCGGCGGCCTCTCTCTCCAGACATCGCGAAATCCCAAAGAGCGATGCCACCCGTGACCGAGATTCGAACCGGCGACTGTGTGCGTCGCAACAGACGCCTTAGTCCGCTCGGCCACTCCACCCCCACTTATTTTATTGTTAGTCAGGTAGGTATACCTATTTAATAATGTCTAAAAGATATGTATATTATGATTTATGAAAGTGTCTTTCGAAAGCTAATTATAGAAAAATATCTGTATACTATTGTACACCGTTGAGCTAAGTTGAAATCCATACTGGTATTATTTGCAGTTTTAATACAACCAATAAATTAATTTAGTTAAATATCAATTAAAAATATAACATTAAGTACATATGAAAATTGACACGAGAAATCTTAATATCAATTCTTGCTGAATTGGTTGTGGCGGCTTACACTTTATCATCTCTAGATATATATTACATACGTATGGGTATGACCTCTGTGGACCGATAAAAATACGACGCCATCTCAATACTTAYGTCTTACATACACAATAAAAAAAATTATATAATTTAGCTTGAAGTATTAAAGTCTTCACTTAAGTAAACTGACACGAGTGTTCTAGTAAAATTTTATTTGCGCTACATTACGATAAAAATTTAAATTGCGTTTCTTATATCATAACATGTTAACTAGGTATTGGYTTAATATTTTATGATATAATATATAAACAATTATAAATTATATTAAAGATTAAAATTAAAACGATTGTGAAATACAATTTTTGATAATTCTACCATTTTGAAAAGAAAACATCGTTTTTCTGTCCAAAATCATAACTATTGATGAAAAAATTCTGCAGAATAATTAAATGGACGCTATTATACCACGTACCTAGTGGTATAAAATAATGTGTATTATTTTATTTTTGTTTATCCATTMTCTTCCCTTCTTCCATTACGGCTTCACAGTGATTTATGTGAGATAATAAAATAAAAACAAAAATTCGAACAGTATAGGTACATATTTATATAATATAATATAGTAGGGACTTTATTTTGGTATCGCATACCGGTATACATTATAAAAATAATAAACCAAATATGTTATGTGACGGGTGCAATATTTTATTGGAGAGAGATCTTTTTTTTTTACATTTTATTAAAATACAATAATTTATAATATTTTGCCCTCCATATAGGTTTTGAATAGAGTAGATAATCAATATTAATACTTTATAATATGCTTCAATGATGAATTTAACATATTTTAWCAACAATAATATAATATTATAGTCAGATGTACCTACTTTGCACAACAAAAAATAGAAAAATAGAAGTATTCGTTTTGATTTATATAGTTCCTGTACTGTTAGAAAATCTTTTTATTTTTTTTTTGAATTCAAACAATTTGTATTTATTTAATGCTACTATAAATTTAAGATACTGTAATTGTCCTTTTTTTCTAGTTATTATTCATTAAATTAAACATAATAAGAAACTATTTTTTTTATAGTCTTGAGCTGGTATAATACTAAGAAAAAAATGGAGTTACGTACTTATTTTTTACAAATACAGGAAAAAAACTGGAATTTATTGTAAGAACGCTATGTAATGAGAATTTTTATCACTTGCTAACTAATAATACAAWGGAGTTGATGATCAAATCTTTTAAATGTATCCTAATTAGGTTTTGTAACATTTTTTAAGTTACGAAAAAAAGTTAAGCATGTTCAATATGACAGTTGGGTTTCATAAAAAAGAAAWCTTTATATTGTTTATAACATCCAAAATTAAAAATATACTTAAAATGTGAAAAACCGGCCCACAATTAAACCGGAATAAATTGAAGGTTATATACCTACACAAGACATAGTATGATGTATTAAATTTTAAATAAAACACGCTGTGTTTAATACCAAACTCAAAATAAACGTACATTACTATTAATAAAATAATAGTTGTATATATATATATTTGTCGAGATATGATAAGTACTCTGCATTCGTGTATTAGAACTGGTACAAAATTWTAATAATTTCCATGGACATAAATATTCTGTATGATTTAATTCGTTACCAAGGACGGATTTAGAAGATGGAAAATAAAACAACCGGGTAGGGCGTAGTATATTAGGTGTAATAATATACAACCATAATATACGTAAATTAAATACTAAAATCAAGCTAAAAAAAACTATTTCTCTTTTTGAGATTTATGAAACATTTTTTTTACAGCGTAATAATGATTCAAGACTTCGCCATCAATTWATTATGATATACGTAGGTACGTTACTAGTTATGAAAATAATCGAAGACTTGCATTAAAATAAGTCGAAACATTATCTTTTATCATAGACGCAACCAGATCTCAATTACTTATAATTGAATGTTTTGTACAGTGCTACATTGTTTCGTCGTTTGTAAATATTTGTATTTAATTATTTAATAGTAAAGATAAAAATATAATACGTCTATTGATCKATAAAAATATAAAATAAAATACAATTGAGGAAGTCTATATTTCTGAAAATCTCATTGAGAGAATTTACTAAAATAATGATAATTGTTACACCAAAAGAATCAGTTTGTTTTATACGAATGTTGATAAAAAAAAAATATATGAGTAGAAGCGTTCTTCTCATAAAGCAGTAAAATTCGTATACGTCATTAGTTAAATTAGAGAAAARTCTATAAAAACGTTGTAATCAAATAGTATTGATTTTGTTTAACATACATAATAGTAAAAATAGACTATAATACAAGGTTGTAACTCAAATAATATGAAATATATGTGTGTGTTTGTATAATAATATCATTGCAAAATATAGACTACGGGAAAACGTTTGCTTTAAACGTGAATACAACATTTTTCATTACATATAGGTATTATTCTCATATTATTATTATTATATTATATTTATTATATTGATTGCATAAACCTGTATAGAGTACAATGTATATCTACAATGTAACTTGCATGTTTAATCATATAATTATTGTGGCAATGATGTTCTGCTAATGTTACGATATCTGTTTTACTGTACACATCAAATATAGAGCATTATGTATAGTGATATCTACGGGATCGATCACTGTCAACATGCATATAATACAATAATAATATGGTTTGATCCTATGTAATGTTAATAACTGACTACAATAATTTAAAATTTGACGATTTAAATTTTATATAATATTAATATTTTCTTTATGTTTTCTTAAGACATATTTAAAATTGAAAATGTCTATTAAAAATGTCTATATTACTATTTAATATT